CCTGAACCCTGCGTTAACACAGCGTACCAAGCACTTCCCTGCGTGAAAACAACGACAAACATGAACCCTGACCGCGTTAACACAGGTACAAGCACTTCCCTGCGTGAAACAACGACAAACATGAACCCTGACCGCGTTAACAACAGGTACAAGCACTTCCTGCGCGTGAAAAACAACCGACAACATGAACCCTGACCGCGTTAACACAGGCTACAAGCACTTCCCTGCGTGAAAAACAACGACAAACATGAACCCTGACCGCGTTAACACAGGGTACAAGCACTTCCCCATGCCTGAAAACAACGACTAAAACATCGAACCCTGACGCCGCTTAACACAGATACAAGCACTTCCCTGCGTGCCAGAAAACAATGATAAACATGAACCCTGACCGCGTTAACACAGGTACAAGCACTTCCCTGCGTGCCAGAAAACAATGATAAACATGAACCCTGACCGCGTTAACACAGATACAAGCATTTTCCTGCGTGCCAGAAAACAATGATAAACATGAACCCTGACCGCGTTAACACAGAAACTCAATAATATTTACCAAACAGAATTGCACGCCCTTTTGTTTTAATTATGTTCGCTTGTTTGAGAACGCCTCATTTTGATTTTTGAGAGTCGTGACACGATAAAATTTATTGCTGGTATGATGTGGTTAAATCAATTAAGCTATAACTGCATAAAATCTTGGTGTTTTGAATGTTGGTATAATCAGTGATATTTCCACTGTCAGGTGAGACTATATTCAGCTATATTTCGTTTTTCTGAGCCAAAAAAACTCGCAATAATCACTTTAACACAGATACAAGCACTTCCGGCACAGATGGTAAATAATGAATAATTAACGCCTAGTTGCAACAGAGGTGCAACAAGTACAAACACCTTCCTGCATAAACCGAAAACAATGACAGAATTAATCCCTGTTCCATGGTGGACCAACAGGAACAGGCACTTCCCTGTGGGATGTGCACACAACCCATCACTTATCTGTACGTGGATAGAAAATACGGACATTCAGACATCAAACTTGCCCCTACTTTACACTCAGCCAGAGATGCGATGGAGAGAGAGTGGACTTATGAATGTAGTCAGTCACTGGCAGCAACAGAGAGACAGGTTTTATGATAGATGCTAGTTCTTACTTGTCTTGCATTCGGGAGGTAGGCAATCACGGTGAATTGAATGCCAAACGAATGCAGAGTAAAATCATTTGCAGCGATGTACTTACAGAAGTGATTTCCTGGCCCTGCGTATGGTGACTTTGAAAGCTGCAAACAGTCCAGGATTTATTCCAATCGTGAAACAGACAAGATGTGCGTGTGTGTACATTTGGTGGTTCATTGATGACTTGGGCTTCGAATACAGGTCATAATGTTACAGCTACACATGCACTCTAGAGACACAGCTCGACTAACTTTGGTGCCGTGATCCAGAATTTCGGTGCGGTCTTGCTCGATGATATTAAACACATAATGAAAGTGTCAATGACACTGTAGCTCACCACAAAAAAGGACACAAATGAGTGAGTGAGAAGAAGTCAGTTTTAATTGAGCAACCATCGACGTACATTATAGAAATGAAGAGTATAATGCGGAGAACTTCCATTATATACTCTGCATAATTATATATGTGTAATTTTTATGTTAAAATAAATGTTTGAGATGTGAAAGTCTGAGATGAGGGCGAGTGATAGCGTTACACCTAAATAATCGCCATTTAACGTTTTTATAATATTCAGATTTAGGCACTGCCTAAAAGCGCGAGCTCCCGATGTGTAACGTGTAAGATTGATAGATACACTTATTCCACGTAGCTGCTATATACCACGTGACAATGGCGTTTCCCTGCCCCATAACACAACTTTTGTCAAAGGTTAATTAGTTGCATGGAATGTTTACTTCGTATGGAGTTTTTCTAGGCGGTAGCACCAACGGTTGCCATCTGTATATCGCAATAATAATTTATAAACCAAAATGAATCACAATTTGTGATGGTAGATGGCGCTATGCCCGCTTTGATGTTTCTTAGCGATGGCGTTCGAAATAAATAGGTTATGCTGCGTTCCGACATGTTTTGTAAAACTTTACTCTAATATATTCGTTTTATCGCAGGGTGGAGAGGAAATACCAATTTTGCATTAAAGATATTGTCAATGAAATCTTGTAAAACGAACCAGACGAGTGTGACACCACAGACTGTTATCTGGCGTGTCTATTTATAATATTATGCTATATAATTGCCAAAACCTACCTAATTTCCATAATTTTTTTTAAATATCAAAACCCCAGCCTTATTCATTCACATACCAGAATGAGCAAAATCCGTTCAACCTGAACTGACTAATGCAATTCCCATTTTTGCCAAAAAATTTTCCGTGGCCTCGAAAGAACGCGACTGGCGTGCAGCCAAAAAAGGACTTCAATATGTGAGGCATAGCAGTAACACAATATACCCAATTTCAAACATGTGGGTCAAACGGTTCCTGAGTTATCGAGGTCAGCGTTCATGTTTGTCGTTGTTTTCACGCAGGGAAGTGCTTGTACCTGTGTTAACGCGGTCAGGGTTCATGTTTGTCGTTGTTTTCACGCAGGGAAGTGCTTGTACCTGTGTTAACGCGGTCAGGGTTCATGTTTGTCGTTGTTTTCACGCAGGGAAGTGCTTGTATCTGTCGGGACTCATCCCGGAACCGATGACAGCGATGGACGACTACAAGATGCTGACGTTTGGCATTGGCTTCACAAACATTGTCGCTCGCACGTCGCGCGGCAGCGCTGACCTGAAGAGGTAAGCTCTCACGCGCGCCCCCCACTCCCCCCAGGTGATCACTCACAGGACACTCGTGTTGTCACATGATGCAGTCACGCGCGCCCCCCGCTCCCCCTCCCCCCAGGTGATCACTCACAGGACACTCATGTTGTCACATGATGCAGTCACGCGCTGTCTGTGTGTTTTCCAATGTTCCGCGTGTGTTGAATCACAAATGCTGCGATAAGCGTAGCGTTGGCGCTCCGGAAAGATACACAGACTGTAATCGCATTTAATTGAAAATCCGCGTGAGTAGAGGCCTGCCTGGTCGCCAGAGGGCATACCGTCATCTACACACCTGCTGCCAGGTTGACGTTGTCAGCAGTTTTCTGGCAATTTTGTGACAGTGCTGTGAAAAATGAGCCTGTAATAATTTATTGTGTCAGCATCTAACACGTTTTCACTGTCATAAAATAAAAGTTTTATTTACTCACTTTTTCCGGTATCACTTTCACCAACAAATTCTTTCTACTAGGAAAGAAATCAAAGAAGGTGGGGAGATCCTGCTAGAGAAAATTAAGGCTATTAAACCAAAGATTGCTGTATTTAATGGCAAAGGTGAGAACTTGGAGAGGTAGAGTATGCCTCTATGTCAGAGCAGTTTGCCATACCAGTAATCATAATAATGAGCTGGTCTACTTTCATGGTAACATTATGAAGTAGACATGATGCACTTTAACAGTTAATTGAGTCGGATTATCTTCTATAGGTATTTGTGTTCTACTGAGTTCTTTAAAATCGTGCCCTACCAAATATTCATATTTTCCCCCTGATTAATTAAGATTGTCCGTCTTCTAGGTATATATGAAGTATTCAGCCAAAACAAGCTGGAATGTTTTGGCAAGCAGCCCAAACCTATTGAGGGGACCAACACTGTAAGTAACTTACTGCATCATCATTGAGAATTAAAGTCATTTGCCTATACATGTCACGTGTCACATTTTGACCTTTTAACATTTTGACATTTTGACATTTTGACTGCTTATATTGGCTCTATATTATGCCAGAAAACTAAATACGTCCCTCCCTCTCCTTTCATCTCCCCTTCCCCTTCATCATCCTCTTGTTCGTCATCTATCTCCCTCTCACTATTCCCTTACCCTCCCCCCTCCCACCATACATCACCTGTGCTTGACTGTCTTCTGCTGCATGCTAGCTACACATCATCATGAGTGGCTTGCTCTGCAGGTGATATATGTGATGCCGTCATCCTCGGCTCGCTGTGCCCAGCTGCCGCGTGCGATTGACAAGGTGCCCTACTACCTGGCACTGAAGAAACTCAGGGACTACATGCGCGGCAGCGTCGCTACACTCGATGACTCGGAGATTGTCTTCTCCGACGTGAAGCTGAAGAAGTTTGAGAATGGTGTCAAGGTCAAGGAGGAGGCAGCAGTGAGTGATGTCAGGAGGATGGGGGTGAGGGGTGCTCGTGTGTGGGTCAGTGATTCACGATGTTACTGTGTTTGTATACCATGGGTATTTATTATGAACGTGTGGGTACGTGCGTGCGTGCATGCGTGCTCGTGTGTGCGAGTATGCGTGTGTTTATGTGGGTATATGTGAGTGTGGGTACGTGTGTACGTGTGTGCGTGTGAGGGTGTTGCTCTGTAGCACACATTCCATGCCTGCAGGATGATGGATTTGAGGGAGGCATGAAGATCAAAGAGGAGGTGCCGGCTGTGAAGCCCACACTCACGAAGGAGGACAATGCCGGAGAGACTCCAAAGAAGAAGAGGAAGCGGCGGAAAAAGTCAGAGATTGAGCAAGAGCGAATCGAGAGGCAGCAGCAGCAGCAGCAGCAGCAAGGTGCGCAAGTCTGTAACAACGGTAAGCATGGCTTCTCATCATCTCTCTCTCACTGTCTGTCTCTCCCCCTCTCTATCTCTCTCTCTATCTGGTATGTATGTCTTTTGGGCGTGTGTGTTAAGGGCATCAGCATTGTGTTATGTGTCATTGGCGTGCACAGCAGTCGTACCTTGAAACGAGTAACAATGTCATCTTTGTCTCCGTGCCAGGTACCGCCGCAGCCCTGCACCACGGCCTCGCCGTGGCCGACCCCACTGCACCGCTGCACCCGCTGCACACTGCTGCTGCCGCGACGCTACATGCGCAGGCCGCAGGTGCTGCGGATGGCCAGCTGGCACGTCTTGGTCCCGCTGAGGCTGAGGACACGTTGCGGGACCTGGGACTGCTCGACCCAGCCGCGTTCCGCAAGCATGAGGTGCTCATCCGGCAGCAGGAGAATCCTGTGCTACATGCTGCCACCAGCGGCACCACCTGGGGAGACGGTGGGAAGGTGATCCCCACTGATAACGAGGGGGCGTCTGCTGGCGCCACCTGGGGAGAGGAGTCAAAGGTAGTCCCGACAGCCGCCGGTGGCACCTGGGGGAATGATGTAACGGCAGTTCCTGCCAGCGCCACCTGGGGAGAAGAGGCGAAGGCAGTCTCTGCTGCCAGCGCCACCTGGGGAGATGATGCGAAGGCTGCCACCGGCACCACCTGGGGAGAGGAGGGGAAGCACGCTGCAGCGGCAGCGGAGTGGGATCTGCATCAGGATCCAATTGACAAGGAGCTGCAGGAGATGATAGATCAGCATCGTGTTGGGGAGGATGCGCGTGGGGGCGGGGTGGCGGCTGCTGCGGGGTCCCCCCTCAACCCCCCCGCGGGCGGGGGAGGAGCCACCGCAACACCTCTTACCCCACAGCATCCCGTCACGCCGACGGAGAAGATGGGGGAGAAGCCCTATGATCATCATCAGCAGCAGCATCATCAGCATCATCATCAGCAGCAGCAGCAGCAGCAGCTCGGAGGAGGCATCAAGCAGGAGTCGATGTGGAATGATGCAGCGTATGGCATCCCCTCTGCTGCCGCTGCCGCCACGCTGGCCTGCCACCAGGGGGTGAGCCCACCGGCGGCCGCGTACGGCATACACGCCAGCTCCCCCACCGCGCAGCAGCAGCAGCAGCAGGCACCCGTGACACCTGTTGTGGCCCCCGCTCCCTGTCACGGCAGCCCCGCCACCTCTACCTCACACGGCTATGGCGGCGGCGGCGGGGCGGTGACGAGTCACGCGCCACCAGGGGGCACCACCGACTTTCTCGACCTTGCCTACAGCAGCTTGCCGACGATCAAGACGGAACCACGCAGCACATTCCTCGGTCAGTACGACGAGGGCGCCACCGGCGGTGCCGACGCAACCGCCGGCAACTACAGCGGCGGCAATGGCAGCTACCCAGGGGGCGCCACGACGGCGGCGTTCACGAGTCAGCTGGCGGCGGCGGCGGCACAACGGTCGGTCCTCGCCTCGCCGTTTGCTGCGTCGCGCGGCTACGCACCGCCGACCTACATCGACCCGCCAAACCCCGGCGCCCCCTACCCAAGCTTCCTTGGTGCCGCCGCGCAGAAAGATTACGCGGGTGCGCTGAGCCGGCCGCAGGGCATGATCGCGCCGCACCAGCCTGCCTACACGCACTCGCCAGCTCCATTCTACCTGCCGCAGCACCCCGCTGCCAGCCCGCTGCCCGCCGCTGCTGCTGCCGCCGCATTCGCGCAGCATCCGTACCACCACCACCACCACGCGGCTGCGGCTGCCGCGGCTGCTGCCGGTTACCACCACGCCAGCACGCCACACCACCCGCACTCAGTGTACCCATCCACGTACCCGCCGCCGCCGCCGCCGGGCATGTACGGTGATGGCGGCGCGATGACCGCCGGCTACTACCCGGCCGCTCAGATGCCCGGCATGGGCTCGGTGAGGGTCAAGCAGGAGCCAGGCAGCTACTTTGGCCACTGCCCGTACTAGACACGGGCAGGGAATGACGAACGCAGGGGTCGCGCGCGTGGTGTCGGCCTTTTCTGTGGTTTCGGTCTTTGGGCTTGTACATAATAATGTAATAATGCGCGCACGGTCGCTCCGTGTCTCGCGAGATGTCGTCGGGCACACGCGTTCTTTTATCGGAGAGGTTTATCGTATTATTATTATTATCATTGTTGTTGTTATTATCATTATTGTTAATATTTTTTGCGTGGCATTTTATGCTTAATTTATGTTGTCGCGTGTCTAGTGGCAGCCCCACCGTCCCCCGTCCCCCGGACTCGCTGTGGTTTCTGACTGCATGCTTCATAGATCTCGCATGTGTTTGCGTTTTCGAATGTTTGATGAAATATTCCACGTTATTGTTATGATATATAGTAGGTCTAGGTGGCCGGGCTACACTCTCACCTCTTGCACATCTTCCAAGGCACTGCACGCGCGTGCGTGCGTTCACTCACGCGGCAGGATCTTATTTTAGTAATGAATTTTATCATATATCACTCGGTCGTTGTCGTCATTGTTGTTGCGTCTGACGATGGCGGCGGCGGAGGTGCGTTTTAGCAGATTGTTATATTTGTCGTCGTGTCCTTAGCGCTTGCATTGTCTCGCAGTGTGTGCGTCTCATAGTGGCCAACTGTAAATGTTTGTGATGATGCCACCGATTTGGTAGTGATGCAACATTTTTGTGGCGGCGGCCATTTGTTTACACGGCTCAGCGTCGGCTAGGTGCTGTCGTGTTTGTTTACGAGCGTCGGCTAGGTGCTGTCGTGTTTGTTTACGAGCACAGCGCCGGCTAGGTTCTGTCGTGTTTGTGTTCACTAGATCCCAGCACTCATGCGGAGGTTTAGACTATGTATATGATTAGTGGCAGGACGGCCTCGAGGTCGCGGCGGTGTGAGTGAGAGAGCCAGTTGTAGGAGGAGGTGACGGAAGGAGACGTGGCTTGTAGCGACGTCAGCGATTCGGGACTGACATGTGCAAGCTCGCGAAACCGCCGTAATGGATTCATGCGTGGTGAGGTTATTGTGTGCGTGCGTGCGTGTCTGCGTGCGTGTCGGTTGCAGTGCAGTGCCACAGTGTTCATACGACGTGCGTGGTGGTGCGTGCATGTGTTGCGTCGCGTGTGCTTTGCTGTGCGTGTGTCGCGATGCGCGCGCTTACTGGTTTTGCGATCATTAGCAGTCGCTGCTATTGTGTGTCATTTCCGTCGCCTGGCTCGTACTCTTGCAGGAGACAGACAATGTTGCTGCCACTTTCTCTGTCTCTCGCTCTCAGGCCGCGTGGCCGCTTCTATGCGTATACCACCCCAATCCGGCGGCCCTATTAGGTATAACTCAAGCGCGCGCGGCTGTTCTAGTATAACCCCCCCAAGCCGCGCGGCCTTCTATGAGTAGTACCCCCCAAGGCTGACCGGCGTCCCTTCTAGCGTAGTACCCCCCAAGCTGCGTCGGCGCCTTCCTACTGTATACCCCCCCCAAGCGCGCGGCCTCTCTGGTATACCCCCCAAGCGCTGTATGCGCCTTATACGTATACCGCCCAAGCCGCGTGGCCCCTACGCTATACCCAAGCGCGTGTGCCCCTCTACGTATACCCCCCCCAAGCCGCTGGTGGTCACCCTCTACGTATACCCCCAAGCGCGTGGTGGCCCTTTTTTTTCTACGTATTACCCTCCAAGACCGCGTGGCCCCTCCTACGATATACCCAGCCCAAGCGCGATGGCCCTCTTAGTTATACCCCCAAGGCCGCATGTGGCCTCTCTCGTATACGGCCCCACAGCATCGTGAGCCCTCTAGGTATACCCCCCCAAGCTCGCGTTGATGCTGTGGTCCCTTTACGTATTACCCGCGCGTGTCCCTCTACGGTATACCCACCCCAGCCTAGGGCCCCTTACGTATACCTCCAAGTGCGTGGCCCTTAAGTATACTCACCCCAAGCCGCGTGGTCCTGCTAGGTTTACCGCCCAGGCGAGGTGGCCCATTTACGTATACCTCCAGACCAAGCGCGTGGACCATCTACGTATAACCCGCCACCCAAGCACCGCGTGGCCCTCTCGTTATACGCCCAAGCCGATGTGCCATTCCTACGTATAACCCTCCCCAAGCGAGTGGCCCTCTACGTTACCCCCCCCAAGCGCAAGTGGCCCTCTACGTATACCTCCCTCCCCCCAAGCGAGTGCGCCCCTACTTACGTTATACCCCCCCCAAGAGCCGAGTGGCCCCCCCTCTAAGTATACCCCCCCCCCCCCCCAAGCGAGTGGCCCCTACTACTGTATTACCCCTTCCCCACTGCTTACGTGGCTCTCTTACGTACGTATACCCCCCCCCCCCGGCCTCAAGCGCGGTGGACCCCTCTACTTTATACCCCCAACCGGTTGGCCCTCTTACGTTACCGCCCCAAGCCGCGTGGGCCCCTCTACGGTATACTCCCTCAAGTCTCGCGTGGCCCCTCTACGGTTTACGCCCAAGCCGCGCTGGCCTTACGCTTTACCCCCAAGCGCGTGTCCCCTCTACGTACATACCTCCCAAGCCGCGTGGCCCCTCTACGTATACCGCCCCATAGCGCGTGGCCCCTTACGTATCCCCCCCCCCCCCCAAGCCGGTCTGGTCCCTTACGTATACGCCTCCCAAACCCGCGTGGCCTTACGGTTACCCCACCCCAAGCGAGTGGCCACTCTACGGTATATCTCCAAGCGGCGTGTCCCTCTACGCTATACTCCGAAGCGCGTGTTCCCCTCTACGTATACCCCCCCAGCGCGTGGCCTCTACGTATTACCCCTCAAGCCGCGTCGGCCCCTCTACGTATTACTGCCTCCCAAGCGCGTTGGCCCCTCTACGATATACACGCCAACCCGCGTGGCCCTCTACGTATACCTCCCACGCGCTCGCGCCCTCTACTGGTATACCCCCACCAACCCGCGTGGCCCTCTACATACCCCACCCGCGTGGACCTCTACGTATACCCCCCGCCCCTCAAGCGCGTTGGTCCCTCTACGTTATACCACCCCAAGCGAGTGGCCCCTCTCGTATACCCTCAAGCGCGTGGCCTCGACGTATACCCCGCCCCAAGCCGCGGTTGGCCCCTCTACGTATTACCTCCCAAGCCGCGTGGCCCCTCTAGTATACCCAACCCGCGTGGCCCTCCTAACGTATACCCCCCCAAGCCGGTGGCCCTCTACGTATACCTCCCAAGCGCGTGTCCCTCTACGAGTATACCCCCGCCCAAAGCGCTGTGGCCCCTCTACGATATACTCCAAGGCCGCGTGGCCCCTATACGTAATTACCCCCCCCCAACCGCGTGGCCGATTACGTATACGGCTCCCAAGCCGGTGTCCCTCTTACGTATACTTCAAAGCGCGTTGGCCCTCTACGTAGTATACCCCTCTCCGCAGCGGCGTGGCCCTCTACGTATTACCTCCAGCCGCTGTTGAAAATGAAACCTTCACCGAAAATCTCCAGGCCTCTTCTACGTTATACGCCCTCCAAGCCGCAGATGCCCATTACGTTATACCTGCCCCAATGCCGCGTGGCTCTACGTATACTGCCGCCAAGCCGCGGTGGCTCCCTCTGACGTATACCGCCCCCAAGCTGCGTAGTCGCCACCTTTACGTATACGCACCCGCAAGCTGGCGTTGGCCTTTAGTCACTTAGCGCCCCAATGACTGCTGTGGCTCTTACGTATACCCCACCCGGGTGCGCCCCTTTACGTATACCGACCCGCCAACGCGCGTGGCCCTCTACGAGTTATTACCGCCCCCCAAGCGCGTAGCACCCTCTACGATATACGCCACCCAAGCTGCGTGCGACCTCTACGTATACCCCCACCAAGCGCGTGGCCCCTCTACTATACCTCCCTCAAAGCGCGTGGCCCTCTACGTTATACCGCCCCAGCCGAGCTGGCCCCTCTACGTATACCCTCCAAGCCGCGTGGCCCCTCTACGTATACCGCCCCCCAAGCCGCGTGGCCCCTCTAAGTATACCGACCCCCAAGCCGCGTGGCCCCTCTAAGTATACCGACCCCCAAGCCGCGTGGCCCCTCTACGTATACCGCTCCCCAAGCCGCGTGGCCCATCTACGTATATCCCCCCCCCCAAAGCCGCGTGGCCCCTCTACGTATACCCCCCAAGCCGCGTTAGGTAGTGTCATGGCCGCCGCGAGCCAACCCCATATTGCGCTGATAGCAGAGTGACAGACGAGAGCTGAGAGTCTCGTCTGCTTAGATGCATAAGTAGCCATCGTCTGCGACTAGAGTTATGTTGATTATAGTTATATATTATGTGTATGTGTGTGTGTATGATTAGATTATCCAGCAGCGTGCGTGCGTGTGTCTGATGTAAGTTGTGCACTGATGGTACACGTTTGTTGGTGCCAGTTATATATGATGCTGTCAGCTTTTGATACTTTTGTATATATTACAAATATATGATAAGTTTAGTGTGTGTGTGTGTGTGTGTGTGTGCGTGTGCATGCGTGCGTGTGTGCGTGGTGTGCGTGCGTGCGTGCGTGTGCATGTGTGTGAGTTGTACAGCTTGTGTCGAAAGCATGGTATTATATTTGCACTTATACACTAATATTATATATATATATATATACATGAAGGCAAAGGTATTGTTTACTTTAGTCAGCCAATTTTACAGTTGTGTACAATTATGAATGAAGTGAGGCCATTATTATGCTGTTGAGAATGTCTTTAGTACATAATTATGAGCATCCTATCATGATGAAATGATGTCAGTTATGAACGTAGTTCTTGGTAGCGTAGCAGACGATATTAATGATTAGGGTCCCAACTCGGATGTAATGTTCCCCGCATCATGCATTTATACAGCTGATGCCTGGTTGTTCACTTGATTTGCTTAATTCTTTCTTTGTTCGTTTGCTTACCTGTTTGTTTTCATTGCCACTAGAGAGTTTTTTATCAGTTAAACGTCCCAAAACTGCGCGTTTTCGTGTTGGGTGGAGAGATCTGATCTCAGCGAGTCGGCAGGCGAT